TTATGCCTCATTTCCAGACCTGGGCTCGAACCGACCTCTATTAAAATACAGAGCCAGTCTCCTTACCCATTTAGCCAACGATCAACATAATGTAAATATGGAAGAAATTATAAATATTCCTTTCCCTTTTCCTTTCTATAATTTTTTAAATTTATTTTAAAAAATCGGGTAAGGCTAAGTTTTCGGGTAGAAATTTCGGGTTTTAACCAATTTCGGGTCACGGGCGGGTTGGAAAAAATATCGGGTACGGGTTTCGGGTTTCGGGTTGGAAAATTTTCAATTCGGGTAACGGGTTTCGGGTACAAAAAAAGGCCGGGTTTCGGGTTTCGGGCGGCAACCCTGCTATGAACTAATCACAATAGATTTTAACAATTTAGATAACACAATGGAGGCGATTGCTGAATATAAACCTGTTCAAGGTAATTAAATAAAAAAAGTTGATGGTTCAATACCTCGACTAACAAGGGAAACTATTAACTTTCAGTTGAAATTTCGCACTTTCTTTGGTACCAATCGATAGAGCATCATTGATTTAGTCTAGAAAATTTTTGACTCTTGGCTCCGAATATAAAACAATTTCCTAAATTAGAGCCCCATTTCCAGAATAAGGTCCATTTTAGAGGTAATTAAAAGAAAGCTTCACATTAAATTAGAACCATATCCTGAATTAAAGCGCAACTTTAGAAGGTAAAACATAGTCCCGTTTCCAGAATTTGGTCTCTATTATAGGGCTCTATTATAGGAAATATTGTATAATAATTAGAAGTTGCAACTTTTAGTAAATCATAATCTCAATATCGTATCGCTTCGTATCTGTGGATTATTTGATAGCATATGCTATATTAGAATGTGAAAATTTTCAATAAACAAAAAATTATTCCTATTATTCAAATACTAATCTTACTCCTTAAACTAATTATTTATTATCCTAGAATATCCATTGAGTCCAGATGAGCTGTGGGCTGAAAAAGGAGATATTATAAGTAAGTTACAACTGTGTGAGGCTACTTTTAATATATTTAGTTGTTTTTAATTTTTTATTGCAGTTGTTAAAACTCCGATTAATCAAGATGGTTTTATTCGCGGAAGGAATCCTCGTTTAAACAGTGAAGGACGTTTCCCTATGTATTTGCTTAAAGAACATTTAAAATTTGAAGAATTTTCTGCATTCGTTAATATTAAATAAATTATATATACCGTATTTGCTCTAATTGAATGACAGTCATTCTATTTTTCAATGCCCCAGAAATTTCTCATTCAATTAGAGAGGTCATTCAAATAGAGCGGGTCATTCTATTTTCCGATAACCAATTATTTCAAATTTTATCAAAAATTTGTAAATTTTTAAATAATTTATTGAATTCCTATCAATTCCATAGATATCCAAATCCCCTGATATCCCCCCTTAATCGCTTGAACCCTCAATATCTGCCAAAATTTTTAAATATTCTCTTTAATCCATTCAAATACCATATTTATAAATAAAAGCATCTATGATCTGCAGCCCAGATCGCCCTATAAATTCTATGACATCCCGTCTAATGACCCAAATCCCACACTATCTATTTTAATCCCATCAAATTTTAATCCCATCACTTTTGATTTGCAAAAAGAACTTTTACTCCCTCTAATTACACTCTAAAAATTAGAATCAATGAAGGGATACAGAGGTTTTAGAAGAAATTGATGGATTTAGAGCATCTTTAGTGTACCTCTAAATCCTTTAATATGCCCGATATCCCAGCAAAAACTCCCGATATCCAACTTAATCCCCCAGAATCTCTTGATATTACACTTATACCCAAATCACTAATGTCCGTCTTAATCCCTCTAAATTACTTGATATCACCTTATTTCAAATCTATTCCTTTTGAATCCCCTTAAATCCCTTGATATCACTCTAAATCCTTCGGCTGTATATGAAAGGAATGCGGCACTCAATTTTTTTCCTTATTCTTAGAAATGGTTAATTTTCTTATATTTTTCTCTCTGTTTTTGATTTGTGCTTAAGAATATAAATGCAAAAGGTTTATTTTTTTTAATTTTTTAATTTCGTTCGTTTGACTGAGCGATGAGTGTCAGTGTTTTGACTGACCGATGTGTGTCCGTGTTTTGACTGACCGATGTGTGTCCGTGTTTTGACTGACCGATGTGTTGGATTGACAAACCACGGACGAACTCGGACAGACAAAACAAAACAGACAACACGGACGAACTCAGCCAAACAAAACACGCACACACAGCGTCAGTCAAAACACGGACAGAAAAAAAGTTTAATCCTTTTGCATTTATAGTCTTAAGGCAAAAATCAAAAACAGAGAGAAAAATATAAGAAAATTAACCATTTTTAAGAATAAGGGAAAAAAATTGAGTGCCGCATTCCTTTCATATACAGCCAATCCTTCAATATTTCTTTTAGTCCCCCTGTATATTATTGCAATTTAATTGAATTTTATAATTTATTGTAAATTAAAAAACCAACAGTCTAGGCCTGGGCCCTGGTAATAAAATTCCTGGGTTTTTCCTGCACCTGTTTTTCCTGCACTACAGGCCCAAGATCCGGCCCAGGTCAATAAATCAAACCCCAGAGTCCAGGAACAGGTCCAGGCTTTTTTCACCTCTAAAAGGGTCATTCAATTAGAGGGGTTATTCAAATAGAGCGGGTCATTCTATTTTTCAATATCAAAAATGGGTCATTCAATTAGAAGGGTCATTCAAATAGAGGAGTCATTCAATTAGAGCAAATACGGTATATATATATGTACCTATTTCGAAGGCAAACTTTAACTTTCGTCCATTATTAAGCGAAATAATAAAAGAATAAAGCAAAAGAATAAATTATTTTAATGATTAAAATTTGCCAGATTATTTCAAAATTTATCATAACAAATAAACTAAGGTTTATAGTGATGAATGGAAAAATCATCTAAATTAGAAAAAATACAAAAATTTGAAAATGAAACCTACATATTTTTAAAGCGAATTCGAGGAATTTAAAGAGATTAAAAGGTTAAGTACCCTGCTCTAACAAATAAGGGGAAAAATATATAAAAATATATACTTAAGACCGGTATATATTTTTAGGTAATTCCGTTCATCTTTATGCGATCTGGTAGATCTTAATTTTAAAAAATAGCTTGATTTCCGACTCAGTTTCTTGTTTCAGCGTTTTTCGAAATTCTGATATTTTCGACAACTTTTCGACCGGTCTAACAGGTACTACTTTTTCAACTTTTCGGAGAAATTTTTTTGAAGTCTGTGAAAAATATATGTGATTCTCCTCAAGATTCTACATGCAATACAAAAAATCATCCAAATCGGGCGAGATTCTACCGAGTCTACTAAAAATCACTATCTAATTATTATATTAGATAATTCCAATAAGTTTTATGTATAAAATGCTAAATTAAGTTTTTGTCGCAAAAATGATTTTATATAATTATGCTTTATTAGATTAGGATTATAAAAAATGTGATTGATAAATCTGTTTTTTTCTATAGAAAAAAGTGCGGCTCTCATTCATATTCTCCAAACCAAAGTGCCGAAGCCATGCTGAATCCATACCCAAAATATAGAGGAATATTGGGAGGGGAGTATATTTGGACATCCTAGGAAGAGCTTCATGGTTGATCAGGTCCTCCACAATTCCCCATACTCAAATATAAGAAACACATCAGCTGGTGAAAACTATTTAACAATTTAATACAACATTCATAATATATACTAACCACAAAAACTAACTAACTAACAATAAAGTGATTGAAATCTAGAGTGTGAAAAGGGGAACGGATTTAAAATTGCATGAAATAGAAATAAATAGGATATGGATACAAAGTCCAAAGGCACAAACTCCGAACATGCTCAATACCGGGTTCTACCTTACACTATGTTTTGGTTATTTTTGTTCGTTAACCATTACGTAAGATTATTTATTTTTTGCCCTTGAAAAAACTAATAAGTCATAAAATAACACAATGAATCTAATTAATTAATTCTTTTTTGTCACTGCATTATTGTGTTTGTTCTTTAGCCAAATATCCGCCCAATTATCAATACAGTCATTCGAATTATTCCAATATTTCCAAATATCACTGATTATATATATTGGATGAGCATTTTCATGTTGTTTGTGTGCAAATTCGCAAAGATTACAAAGAGTATTGTAAGATGCTCCATATGTACTATTGTTAGCTTTAATATACCCTTGATTATATTGAATTCCAAGGCCATTGAAACTCAAACGATATGTTGTTTTTTTATATATCTTCGTCCACTCAAAATATCTAAAATTTTTATGATGGCTTTAAGTATGGGAAAAAGCTATATCTGATTTCAATGTAAAATTGTAAATAGTTTTAAATATTATCAATGTGAAGAAAGTGGGAATTTTTTAAATAAAAAGCGAAGGATGATAAAAAAGCGAATGTTTTCCTACATACCTCAAAAATTTTTTTAAATTTTCGCCAGCGGCATGAAAAAATGCTTTTTGAAAAAAATGAATTTTTCGTGCCTTCGGCACGTTTTTCACTTATTCATGTGCAACAGGGATGTCACGAGTCGAAGTTGCGGGTTTGCGGATTTGTAATTTTGCCCACTTTCTTATATCCGAAAATCCCCGACCCCGAAAGCAAGCGAACATACCCTAGATATAACTATAAATTAAGCTGTTTCTATGAGATTGGACGGATATCAAGAGATTAGGTGTGTATTTAAAGGTCATTATAGGATTTGGAGGCATATTGAATCCAACTATATCTTATAGATCTCGTTAATCGCAAATTCCGTGATATCCTGATACTATGATATAATAAGCTCACAGAATCCCGCATAATCCCGATTAATCATGCGGGGTCCCATCACGAATGTCCTGTTAAAAAATGCCGTTATGTAACTCGTAAATGCGATTTTGCGCATTCTATTAATAAATTCGATTGAATTCATGTTTCCTTTGGAATTAAACGTTTGTTAGACCTAAATTTCACGGTTCTTTCCCGCCTCCTTTAATTAATCGATATTTCTAACTTTAAATAAGCTGTTTCATTCTTTTGCAAATAAAGCAAATACTTGGCTAGTTCCTCCACATTGTTAAAATCATCTACTGCAATATACACATTATCTGGTATTTTTGTATTGTTGAATACACGACGACTAAGTACTATCGGCACAATTAAATGTTTCAAATTCCAAAATTTTTCAGTAATATATTCCTTACAAACAGAATTTTCAAATGCCAAATAAAACATGTGATTAGCTGAAAATAATGGTCTGTGACATTTTTGCCGATGTATTTTGCAAACGCCTATTTTTCAAAATTTCAAATACGACATCCCGTTTAAAACACGCAGAAAATTTAAAACACGCAACTTTTTTTTATTTTTTATAAAGGAGGATTTCTATGTTTGGCACTCAAAAACTCCCAGAATATTCGCCAGCGCAAAAAAGGATGAATTTTGGGTTCTTGGCCTTTATTTTTATAAAAATTTTGACGTTTTGCATTCACTGTTGTCTGATTTTTGGCGTATTGGGTTTAGCGTATTTTAAAATTTTGAAACATTGGCATTTGGCAGGCCATGCGAAAATCTTGGCGCAAAGCCTAAATGTTAATCATACTTTAATTTTATAAGTAGTGCGGCGCAAAAGTATCGGTCCGAAAGATTGCCAGTTTTTCAGATGATATAAGAAGTTAAGGTCAATATCGTCTCTTTGGATGGATTTTGGTTGGTCCGTTTTTGATAAAAACTTTATAAGAACAACCAAATTCTGTTATTTTCTACTATTCTAGGGTTTGTTGCGTCGCCACTTTTGCAGACCGAAACTTGCGAACACGCATTTGCAGATCCGTCAAATGCGGATTGACTTATGCGGATCGACATTTACGGTAGGACATTTGCTTAACGACAATCGAGTAAAAAGATTTTTTTATTAATTAAATTAAAAATTCCTTTCAATTTTATTCATGCCTTGCTCAAGGGCTTATCTAAAAACACTTGAAATTTGCTACAAGAAAGCATTAATCTCGCTTTTCCGAAAATATTTGATAACGAGATTAGGACCAGACGTGGGCAAAACGTTTCGTTTCGTTAGTTAGTTTCGTTATGTTTTTCCCTGTTTCGTTTTGTTTCGTGACGAAACAGTTTTTATCTGTTTCGTTTCGTTTTGTTAACGAAACACCTATGTTTCGTTAACGAAACATTACCTATTTTTTAAGCCAAAATATTATACAAAAACTTAAAAAATTTCCCATTTGGCGATGGCAATTCAAAAAAATTTTTGCCTGCGGCGCTGAAAAAAAAGAAATCTGGCTTAAGGACCTCCAAAATTCTCAAAATTTTCGCCTGCAGCGCTGAAAATGGAAGAAGTCTGCCTTCATGGCCTTACAAAATTCAAAAAATTTTAGAAAAGAAAATATGTGGTATATCTGGCATTTGCATAGATTAAGGTGGACTTTGAGTAATATCGGGAAGAATTAAAAGAGATTATTAGAGGGGTGCATTCGCGTTTCGCATTCGCGTTTCGCTTTTTGCGCGAAACGCGAAAGTTTTATACACCCCTAATGTCAGGTGAAAGCTGGTTAAGTTGGAGAAAAAATGAGGCTGGAATAAATTGAAAACCTCCAAAATTCTCAAAATTTCCGCCTGTGGCGCAGAAAAGAGAAGAAATCTGGCTTCTTGGCCTTCGAAAATTCTCCAAATTTTTGCCTACGGTGCTGAAAATCCCCTCAAATCCCTTGATATCCCGGATGCCTGTCAAAATCCTAATGTTGATTGTAAGATTCAGTTGAGGCTTTGATTTGGAACAAAACACTGAGTTGATAGATCCTTAAAGATTTCTCATCGTATCGGAAAATTGTAAGAATTTCGCGTTTCGCCTTTCGCGGATTTTCGCGTTTTTTGGACTTTCGCGTTTCGCGTGTCGCTTTTTTAGATTTACTTTCACGTTTCGTGTTTCACTTTTTAAATTTAATTTCGCCTTTCGCTTTTTAAAATCCGTTTCGGCACACCCCTGGTCCACAGGCGTTTCCGCACCCTGGGAGTGATACTATTCGACTCAGCTCGCCGAGACGAATCGAATGGTATAAATTTCGAGGGGCTTTCGAACCGTCCACCGGCTAAGTACATATGGTACATATATCATTTTCATTTACCCAATTCCTGTAAATAGCAATGCCCATAATCACATTTAGCAGAACCATTACATGTTCCATATAGATCAATACTAATTAACTTGCTCAATTCTGCAACTAGACTTTCTCTTTTAGATGGCGTACCTTTAAATTTAATTATGGCTATGACTTTTATTCATTTATGGGATGTTGATAGGCAATAGATTTTTCAGATAAAAAGTATGTTCCGTGAACAATATATTGCTAATAGAATTTCAATATTCCGTATACCAATTTAACCCGAAATCATATAAATAAACAAGCAATTTAGGGTAAAACAATTACTACAATCAGAAGTAGCTTTCATAGCTAATTTTGTTTTCCTTCTTACAATTTCCAATACCTGAAATAACAAAAATTTATTCATTGATAAATCTAGACCTCTTTCTCTGACCAGTATTCATCTGCTTGACATTTACCATTACACTGGATAAAAGCATCGTATGGATAATAAATATTACTGTCAGCACGATATGTCATTGTTATATTAAAGAAATCAGATGGCACATCCTTTATTAAAGAAGGCAGATTTTTATTAAACCTATTTACTAGCTTCTTATTTCATAATACCACGATAATTTCTTAATCGCCTAGACTTGTCTTAATTCTCCAAATCCTTCCATATCCCTCAACCACACCAATCCTGCTTAATTCGGCAAATCCTATTTTATCCGTCTAAATACGCGATATTCGCTTTCGCTGTTGGAATTTCTTTATATGTATATACATACTTTAAATCGATTATATCAAAGAGAATTAAGTAAAATAACACCTGATTTGTAAGTTTCATCATCAACCTAGTATCTAGGAATAACATGATGCTAGCCCTGCTAATAAATATTCGAAAAAATAGAGGGGGAGGGGCAGGGCTGTGCGCCAAAATTTTCCGGTAGAACGCCAAACGCTAAACGCCTATTTTTCAAATTTTTAAAACACGCCAAACGCAAAACGCGAAAAATCGGCCAAAAATGGACGCCAGACGCCAAACGCCAAAATTTTTAGAATGTATAAAGGCCCAAAAACAGGAATACATCTTTTTTTAGCGCCGCAGGCGAAAATTTTTGTATTTTCTAGATTCACTGCACCCAGAATTCATCATTTTTAGCGCCAACAACAAAGATTATGGAAATTTTTAAAGATCAAATGTCAGAAATCATTCATTTTTAAAAAATTCAAGAAAAATAGGAAAATCATCGAACCGGATTTGTAGGGATATCGAGAGATTTAGAGGCAGTGATATTTTCTTTGCCCTCCAAACTAAAGGATTTTAAGGGGCTAAAAGGATTTTAAAGGGCTGACTCTTTTTTCTATTAAGAGGATTTGAAGGATATTAGGAGATTATAGAAGTCCTCCTTTAAGCGCCGCAGGCGAAAATTTTGGTATTCTGGAAGGTCAAGAAGCCAGATTTCTTCTTATTTTTATGCGCCGCAGGCGAAAATTTTGAAAATTTTGGAAGTCTGTAGCCAGAAAAATTCGATTTTTTTATATCTTTCCTCCATTTATTTAAAAAAATTTCCATCATTAGGGTTGTATAATTTTGGCGTTTTGGCGGCAAAAGACGAAAATCACGCCAAACGCAAAACGCCAAAAATCGGCCAAAAATGGACGCCAAACGCCATGACACTCAGCCCTGGGGAGGGGGAGTGGTATGACATTTTTAGCATTAACATTGCGAGGTAAAGTACCAGTATCTACACTCCGCGTCAAAAAGATTCGGACACCTTGTTTTTTGAATATATTTTTCGATTATCTGAACAATTATATTAAACTCCATAAGAAAAGTATACACAATGACCAAATCAAACTTTATGAGTCCTATCAAAGAATAATTGGATTATTCTTGGGGTTGCAAAGTTAGGGTATGGCTACAAAGCATTTCTTTATGTTCGGGACCTACGCCCACTGGGTCTGGGACCATTCCTTACCCAATCCGTCGAAATTTCTGAAAGTTATAATTGTTTTTTCAGAAATTTTTAAAAATTGACTATAACTTTTAGAAATTTCGAGGGAGGGTAAGGAAAAGTCCCAGACCCAGTGGGCGTAGGTCCCGATCATGAAGAAATGTTACGGAACCATACCCCTACTTCGGCAACACCAGGAAAAATCCAATTATTTTTCGATTGGACTCATAAACTGTAATAGTGCCTCTATTTTATCGGAATAAAAATGTCTAATAAATTTTTTCAATTTACCTTAAAGTATTCATATGTATAAGAAGGTGATTCATGTAAACAAAAAACATATAATTGCTTTGACGATCTTGATTTAGGCAATTCCTTATGTTCATTCCTAATGGAGAAAATAATGACAGAAGCATTCATCTGTCTTTAATTTATTTTATTTAAAAATTTACAAAAAATTACAAATCTTTATTTGTTGTATATTCACATTCATAAGGGCATTCAGTAATATTGTACATTCCAGTCAATATTACCATTACATTACCAAATACAATAAAATCATTCCAACCGAGAATTATTGGTTTTATCTAAATGGCAAGCATATACAGTCGTGGAAAAAAGTATGGAAGCGCTAGAAAATTTTTTCTTAATTCTTAATTTTTCATTCAAAAAATACGTTCTATATACCAATCGAAAGCTCTATTCGTATCTCAGTTGACATGTTTCTGCATTTTCCATGAAAATGAAAATTGGCCGAGATAATCCGGATCTACCGAATATACCAAATCCCACTTTTTCGGAAAAATTTTTCGGAACAAATTTAACAAACCCAAATGATAAAGCATATTTTTCTGAGTATTTTCCACAAAACCGCTTAGAAATATCTTTTTCCGGTCCAGCGATATGATTTTTTGAAAATCGCATTTTTTACTTAAAAATTGAATTTTTTGCAAAAATTGACGAAAAATGCGATTTTCAAAAAATCATATCTCTGGACCGAAAAAAGATATTTCTAAGCGGTTTTGTGGAAAATACTCAGAAAAATATGCTTTATCATTTGAGTTTGTTAAATTTGTTCCGAAAAATTTTTCCGAGATTATGGGATTTGGTATATCCGGTAGATCCGGATTATCTCGGCCAATTTTCATTTTCATGAAAAATGCAGAAAAATGTCAACTGAGATACGAATAGAGCTTTCGATTGCTATATAGAACGTATTTTTTGAATGAAAAATTAAGAATTAAAAAAAATTTTCTAGCGCTTCCATACTTTTTTCCACGACTGTAGCTATTTAATTCCTAAGGCTGTGCAGTAGGCCCTTCTACACAGATCATGTGGAAAATGTAACGTAAATTGTTTAGAAACATCATCAGAATATGGCGGAACCTCCACATTTTGCGAACACACAAAAACATGTAAAAATCACAGGAATAGTTTATATTGTTTTATGTGTCCAAAAATATCCTTAGATGGTATTTGTAAGGTTTTTAATCCAGTGAAAAATACACATGCTTGTTAAATTTGTACCATGCTTTTTGGATTTGCGAACATTTCAAAGGAGAATGTATATTTAATTATGCGGCTCAGACCTTTCGGTCTGGAGCACCTTCAATGCGCCGGTTGGAGAAAATTTGGGGATTAAGTGAGGAGGCGCAGAGGACCTTAATTTATAAATAAAACAAATTTAATTAAAATTTATTTAATATTTAAAATAATAAATTAAATGAGTTTTTGGTTCATTGGAAATATTGGAGTAATAGGAATAGAATATGAGGACTGTGGGATCATTGGAAAAATTGATTTAATCGGATAAACACATTTGAACTGAATCATTTGTTGTTTATACTTTCGGTTAAATAGTGAGGAAAGTGGGAGGGAAGAATTGAAAAAATACAAACTAAACGTTTTGGGAAAGTGGGAAATAATTCTCAAAATTTTTGCTTGAGACGATAAAAGGTCTCGCTACTAAAACTACATTGGTATTAGAAAGAATCAGTAGAATTAGTTTTTATTTCCCCTTCTCCCTTATTTTTCATAAGGCATGTATCGTTGTTATATATATATATAATAGTTATATGATATAATTTTTATAAGATCTGTTTTTCCGTGTTGTTTCAGAAAATGTTCCACAGAGATACCCTTGATCCTTTCTACAACTTTTCAGGTATCGAAATAGTTGTCGCAGACGCAGTTTGTCAGCCAAATCAGATATGTTAAAATATTTAGTTGCTCCATATTGGTCATTGAATGATGTAAATGATCTATGTATTCTTACATACAAACTCCATTTTTATGCATGCCTCATGAAAAATAAGGGAGATAGAGAAGGAAGGAAAAGTGAAAAATGGTCGGAAAAATGAGGGGGAATACGAACCGAAGAATTACCGAAATGTTTAAATGAGAAAATAAAAAATCCTTTGATTATTTAATTTTTTATGTCAATTTATTTAAACTATTAGTGTTCTAAAATTATACGCACCCCTCTCATACCAATATAGATAAGAAATACAAAAAAATGAGGTTCTTATTGTAAGATCCGAGTAATCTTACTTTAATTTAAATTTATTTTTATTTTACTCTCAAACAAATTGAGGACTTTTAAAAACACTTTTTATTCAGAAGATTTATCAACAAATAAATTAATTTATTTTAAGTTTTTAAGTTCAATTGAAGGTAAAGGTTGGGTAAAGGTTTTGGTTTATATATAGGGAAATAGGGGCGGTTGATTATTTATGAGAGTGAAGAGAGGGTTGAATATTTATTAGTTTGATTGACATTTATTTGAATTTGTGAAGGGAAGAGAGGTTAGGATGAAAGGGATTTTTGAATATAAAAGGGGAAATGTCAATCAACAATAATAAATATTATAAATATTAAGATGGGAAAATGTTGGGAGGCAAAATGTATATTTGAATATTGAAAGGTCAACTTTAAATAAAGATTATTTTAAATTTTCTTAAATAACGGACACAACATCCCTCCTTCTCTTCAAAAAACTTCATCCACCAAATTTTTTAACGTCTCCCGTGGTAACGAGGATTTCCATCATTGTTTCGATAATAACGATGATTTTCTTCTTGATAAGGCGTATAACGCCCTCGCGTAGTGTTGCGGTATTGTTCATTCTCCAATTGACGTAACAAATAGAACAACCTAGAATTACGAGCTCGTCCTCGCGGACGACCACGATTTCCTCCGCGATTATCGCGGGCATTTTCTCCACGATTTTCGCGGGAAGTTCCAGCCTGATTTTCAAAATTATTTTCTCCACGATTACCGTGGGCAACTGGTCGTTCCTCCATCTTATTCTCATTTGATGGGTCTTTTTCTTCTTCTTCATCCTCCGATTCGGAAAGTTCCGAATCAGATTTATTTTCCAAATTTTCGATTTTTGGGGCTAATTCATTTAAAGTGCCTTTAATCTCCTCCAAAAGAGGGCAAATCGAATGAAGCACTTCCGAAACAATTTGTTTTTTCATCTCCTTCATTTCTTCACGAATTTTATCGTGGATATTGATCATCGTTTCTCGCACCTTTTGGCATTCCTTCTTAGTACAGTCTTGTGCGGTGAGTGAATTTGAATTTTTAATTTTCTCTCCTTTTTTGGAGGCTTTTTCAATAGCTTCTTCGTTGTTTCCAAGAATTTGATCCACATCCATTTCAGTTGGTGAAGTCATTATTTGAATGGTTGAAGAAGAAGGTTGAACAAAAAAATAATTTTAAATAAATTCAACTATAAATTACAAATTAAATGGTAAAATTTCAAAAACAAAAGAATTATTAAGTAAAATTGGATATATGTGAATGGGAAAAGGGGGAAGAGATTGAAAATAATTTTAAAGAATTTAAAAAAGATAGGGATATTTACAAGAAAATTTTTTTTCCGTTCTATCCTAAAAGGACGCTGAATTTCTAAGTCCACTTTTGCGGACTCGCAGTTGATCAGTATGGGCATTTGAAGTTTTTCCATTCTCAAGTTTAACTTGGTATATATAGTCTCCATTTTTACCGATGACCTTCCCTTCTCGCCAATTTCCACTCCCCGAATGATCTCTGACCCATACTAGGTCATTATTTTCAAAATGCTTTTCTTTGACTCGCCGTTTTTTCTCCTCATCTATCTCTCCCAACGGATTATTTTGTGTAATTTTCTTTGCTGGGGAAAAATTTATGATGTCTATTTTTGAATTTATATTTCTTCCCAAAAACCTATAAGCGGGAGAGTCTCCATCCATCAAAGAATGAGGTGCGGCTCTGTACTCAACTAAAAATTCTATACAGGCATTTTCTAATCCCTTGTCAATCATTTTTAAAATTCCGCTTTTGAAGGTACGGACGAACCTTTCACACAAGCCGTTTGACTGGGGGTGATATGGCGGTGACTTCATGTGTTTTATTCCGTAATTCTCCATAAAACATTCAAATTCATGGGAAACAAATTGAGGGCCGTTGTCTGAGACAAGGCATTTAGGCGGACCAAACATGGAAAAAATTTCCTTTAATTTTTTAATTATTGAGGTAGAAGTTGTACTTTTCAGCTGATATCCGAACGGATATCGCGAATATGCATCCACTAGCAAAAGAAAATTCGTTCCACAGAACGGGCCAGCTAGATCTATGTGTACTCTTTCTAGCGGCAATTTAGCTTCGGGCCAACTATTTTCACTCGCAGTTTGCGGTTCATTGGGTCTAAATTTCTGGCATATAGTACAACCTCCAATGAAATTTTCAATGTCCTGGTTTATTTTCGGCCACCAAATAATTTTTCTAGCTTTTGCTTTAGATCTCACTACTCCAAAGTGGGCATAATGAATTAGCTCTAAAATTTTAATTCTTAAAATTTCAGGAATGATTATTTGTTCTTCGGGCCGTTTGATGATTAAATTTGATTTTATGGCTAACCTATCTCTTATTAAAAAATACGGTTTTAAATCTTCATTTATTTCTTCACTCCATCCATTTTTTATATAATTATATACAATTTTTAGGATGGGATCATTTTGTATTTCTCTCTCCAAAATCTCCTTATTTAATTTTTCTGCAGTTAAATTCATTAAATAAGGGATATCTTCGTTTGGAGGGGGAACTGCAACAGTCCAAGGGACCGGAACTCGTGATAACGCATCTGCCACTTTATTGGCGCTTTCCTCTAAATACACAATATTTGGCTCAATTTCCTGCAAAGCTAGTAGCCATCTGTTTAATTTAACATTAGTACTCGCTTTTGTAAATAGAAAAGTTAGCGGTCTATGATCTGTGTAAATAATTAATTTTCCTCCATATATGATGGGCTTAAAATACGTAATTGCATAATATATTGCTGCTAACTCATTATGAGTTGCGGGGAGTTTAGATTCAACTTCGTTTAGCATTCTCGACCAGTATCCAATACTATGAAGGTCGGTACCATTGTCACTTTGCATTAAGGCGCCAGCATACGCTACTGACGAGGCGTCACAGAATAAATGAAATGGCTGGTCGTAATTAGGGGCTCTCAAGCAAAGCGATTCAAAAGCTCTCTTTTTAGTGTTTCAAAGGCTTTATTTTCGATCTCAGTCCATTTAAAATTTTCTCTACCTCTAGTTAATTGATTTAGAGGTGCAGCAGTATTAGCAAAATTAGGAATGAATTTTCTGAAAAATGATGTCATTCCTATAAATCTCTTCACTTCCTTTGCGTTTTTAGGTGAGGGAAATCTTTTAATTGTTTCACAATTGGACTGGGCTGGCTTATATCCTTTTTTTGAAATTTCATGGCCTAAATAGATACATTTTCTCATGAAAAATTTACACTTTTCTCCCTTTAGTTTTAGACCATTTTCTTTTAGTCTTGTGAATACTTCTTCAAGTATTTCAATGTGTTCCTCAACACTGTTTGTATGGACCAGTATGTCATCTATATAAAGGGAAACGTTTTTAACTCCTTTTAAAACTTTGTTCATAGTCCTTTGAAATATACTTGGGGCATTCTTTAATCCAAATGGAAGCCTTTTCATTTCGTATAGGCCCCATTCTGTTATTATTCCACATTTATAGGAACTCTCTTTATCTAGAGGTATCTGCCAGAATCCTGACGAAAGGTCTAAGGAACTATACCAGGATTTTCCTGCAGCTTTATGTATCATTTCTTCCATCTTAGGGAGCGGATATGGATCAGTAATGGTTATTTTATTAAGGGGTCTAAAATCAACGCATGGCCTCAATTGACCGTCTCCCTTAGCTACCAAAACTAGATTATTTGCCCACGGAGTAAGACTTTCTTCAATTACTCCAGCTTCAAGCATTTTATTTAGATGAAATTTCAATTCCTCCCTATATTTAGCAGGGGTCCTATATGGTTTTACCTGAATCGGTACTTCGGAAGTAGTTAAAATTGGCGGTGCTACAATTTTACATTTTCCGAGATCGTAATCGTGCCGTGAAAATGCACTAATATTTTGCTCCAGGCTATCGAAAAATTTTTCCTTTTCCTCTGGGTTTTGCAATTCAGTTCTAGATATAATTTTTTCAATAAGCAATTTTTGGTCTCTTTTTAAATATTGTTTGCTCTTTTCATTAGACATTGCTTCTAATCTCTTCAAAGGAATTAATTCCCAATTTTGAAGGCTTAATAACATAGGGAAAGACTTTAGAGATTCTCTGCCGATAATTACTTCATATGAGTTACTTTTGCTTATCTCCTGGTCAATAATCATTATTGATGTCTTGATTTCGCAATTAGCTAATTTTAACATTATATCTGCTTGTGCTACCAGGGGTATTAAATTATTTCCTATTCCAAACACTCCGCTAAAGGCAGGCTGATAAAGCGATTTAATTCCGCATAATTTAGCTTTTCTCTTGCTTATCAAGGAAACATGTGCACCAGTATCAAGTAAACATAGTATTCTATGGCCATTAATTTCAGCAATAATTCTCATATTTTTATCACAAATATGGTTTTCTAAAACAGATATTTCGGCTTCATTTTCTTTATCGGATAATTTTCTCTGTAAATTTAAGCAATGCTTCGAAGGCCATCTCTCAGTAAGAGGTAATGATTTTGTATTTCCTTTTGGGCTATGTTCTTTTGTTTCTTTGGCTCTCCGAAAATTACGGGCAATTTTGTATAAAATCTCTCCAATATTTAAATTCTCTAACAGTTTAGTTAGGAGAGAGGGCAATATAAATTTAAAAATAAATTCAAGGGTAACGTAGCAGCAACAAATGAACACCCATACTTGGTTTAAGCTGAATATACCACCTTTAAGAAATGAAAATAACCCGTTTGATACTATATTCCCTGCTATGACATGTTTTCTGGTATTTGAAGTCTCCCAAATCGAGTTGGGGTTAGAAAGTCTAGCAATTTCCTGGGTTATCTTGGCACTTTCCATAGTCTCAGAAAAATGTTCTGGCGAATATAATTCTGTTAAATTGGCCAGAATCTTATTTCTAAAAACAGAAATGCTCATTTCTGGTATATCTATTTTCCCATAACGTATTATTTCTCTTATACTTTCTCCTGCTATTTCTTTTTGGTCTCCTGTGACCTGGTCAAATTGCAGGGTTCTATCTTTTTCATGTAAATACATCCATCTCATTGTCTCGCATTCAACTTCTCTAGCATGCGGATAAATTATTAAATTATTTGTATCAATAAATCCATGCTTCAATGAGCCGTGTAGCATAAAATTAACAGGTAATCGATCAAAACAAATACCATTTTTCCAATTAAAATGAATATTCTCCTCTTTAATTGTGTAACAGGGTTTTATTTCCAAAACGTTCTCCGTTACGAGACGGGCTGTTATGTGATCCTTTTTAAGAAAATGTCTCGCAAGCAATGTTGGATTGGCTGCGGCTAAAGTCATTAATTGGTCAGATAATTCTTGGAGTCTCTGGCATATTTGCCGAATAGAATCAGCGAACAATTTTTTAATTGATTTACTAACTGAAGCACTTAATGCTGAGAGTTGTGAAGCTAACTGTGAGCTATATACAATTCCAGTAGGCTCACTTATGATCTCCCTTTTAACACGTGAAGGGGAAAATTCAAAGAAATCTTTTATTCGCTGCAGCTCCTTAAACTCATCCAAAGGGATGGCAAAACCTTGGTCTGACAAAATTAATTCTTTTTGCTCGCAATCAATTAATTTTGTCGCATTTTCGAAAGATAGGGCGAATTCATTCATTTCAGAAAGCCAAATACCTGATGAATATTCTCCAGCCCAATTATCTACAAATACATATGAACATTGCTGGGTTTTATCGGGGTGCCAAATCAGACTCCCTTGGTCACATTTACAACTCCCAGAGTGATATAAGCATCCGGGGCACACACCAATAGGCGTATTAATCTCATCTGTTCCAAAATGCGTAAATACAACAGATTCGTATACATAGCAATTCTCCGTGGTTTTTGTATCCCACGGGATTCCAAACGGCCAAATCTTCCATTCTAAATTCGGATCATTTTCTGTGGCCTTCAGCGATCCGTTTTTCTCCCTTAAATCTCCCGCTACTGAATTATTTAATTCTCGCATCCTCTTACATGCGGATATAGGTACATTTACATGTTCTGTACCGGATTCTTCTAAATAAGCACCAAAAACACCTCTGCTTTTTGAAACAGTAGTCTTTATGCATTTACATACATAAGCAGGTGTTTTGTACTGTAGGGTATTTGCTCTATAAATTGTTAAATTTATAGGTACTGGTGCCTCCGTTATATGTCGAGTTGGACATATTGGGTCAGTAGGTAAGCGCCATAAAGATACGGGCGCATCTCTTAAACAAATCATAGGTGCAGACAGCGCTACGGGGAAAAAACAAGCTAACATGGCTAGCAAAACAATCCAATATGGACTAGCCATTTTTAAATAATTTCTATTTTTAGATCTCACACACATTGGATTTTTGTGTGGCAATTTATTTTTAACATTATTTATTCGCTTTTCTTCCAATTTATTTTTTCCTTTTAATTTCTCATTGGTTGGTTCTGCAACAGCAACAAAATATGGACTAACAACTCGTATACCTGGACTTCCTCTACGATCGAAACGAACACGGCGAGGAGAACGATTAGATTGCTCAAGTCTATAAGTATTTCTTTCTCGACTAGGTGATCTACTGTCGGTATAATTTTTACTATTTTTGTAATTATTTCTTTCTCGACTCGGAGATCGGCTATCCGGATAATTTCTGTAATTGCTGCGATTATCTCTTCCCGAATTGTAATTGTACCGGTTATCTGG